TCCAGGACAGTTCCAGGTGGGTAGTTACCCTTATAAGAGGCCTATATAAACCTCATATAGGCCCATTACCCTTATACGAGCCTTATATGAGCCTTATATGGGGGTACCCACCTGGTAACTACCCACCTGAAACTGTCCCTGAATAGTGTTCCGGAAGACTTGACCTCATGTCCACGGAACCTGATTCTTGATAGGTGCGCATTGCAGCAGTGGCCCCCTGGTGGCATCCCGGCCGCCTGAACTATGTCACTCCTTGTAGTTTTGCAGTTGTGTCCTGGCAACGTACGTTCCCCTTCACACTACTGTACCTCCTGTATGTAAATACACCCGCTGGTGTAGAAAGTTGAGTCGAGATTTCAGAAAGGCAGCAGACCCAGCTAGTGGGATCCCCATCCCATGCTCTGGATGACATTTTTCCAGACCATCCGGTGCGATTGTAAAGACAGCTAACAGCTAGAGCACAAGAGCGAAGAGTCGGGGAAGTACGTGATTTAGAGCGATGGATAGCTCCCTGCCATGATGTAGCCTCGCAGTCAGGGGCTCCTATCACTTCTTGGTTGCTGCTTAACCTAAGCCAGACGGTCTTGGAGGCTGCACGGCCACCAGACCCCTCCAAGAGGCGAGCTGATTTTCTCAGAAAAGAGTGCCAGGCGCATGCCAGACCATGAACTCTGGCTCTGCATCCGAGGCTGCAGGAAGGATCTCTTTTGCTTGTGCCGCTGGTGGAAAGTGCGATTGTAGCGAGTTGCAAGTCAAAGAGCGTTGGGAACGGATAAGCCGATCTTGCATTGAGAGCTTCAATTGTCAATACAGTACCCCCTGCCCTGAGCAAAAAGTGGCAAGTATGCTGTTCGCACGTGCATGAGGGCTGCATGGTCAGATTCTCGGACTGAAAACTTGCAGGTGAATTTGGGCAGTAGCTGCTGAATTCCAGCCATGGCCACCTGCACTCGTGCCCTGATGGCCCGTGCGGCTGCCAGGGTGCTCACCAAAGCGAGCTGCTTGCGGCCATTTGCAGCCCAGGCTTGTGCTACCATGCTTCGTTTAGGGCTTGTTCTGGTTTTGGGCAAAGGTTTGGGCCATCCGGAAGGTTTGACAACAAAGGTACTGCCTGGCTCAGGCCGGGATTTTCGATTTGCAAGTATCCTATGTGATTGGCACATCTGCTTGTGCTATGGTGGTTCACGGAAGCCTTTGCATTAACGTTTTCAGGCAGGGCCCATTTGCCAGAGACCTTGGCATGAAAGTCTATAACAGCGCACCCTACCTGGGCACCGTCGCATGAGCACTGTTCACTGGCAGAAGTCGCAATCTTGCTGTAAGGCCTCTACAACGGGTCGGCTTTACTTCCAGAGCGATCAGGCGCTGTACATATTGCACGGACATGAACCCCAAGCAGGCTTCCTGCAACTGCCACCCAGCAACGATCATGATCATGCATCTTTTGCATGTCGCTACCGGCAAGTCCGATGCCTTGACCTGTGAGGCCACAAATTATGCAAGTCACGACTGCTTCCGGTTTTTCTGTAATTGACAAGTTGGCGGTGTATATTGTGCTGGCTCCTGAGCCGGCCTTGGCATCTTAAGTTTCATAGAGCTTCTCTTTGCAGGTGCCTCGCAGCATCATCTCCACTGGACAAGTGGGCACAAACCGTGATCTTCTTGGATCCGATGGGGAGTTCTTTGGGACAGACCCGATTGCCTTAGAGGCCTGCTCGGCTTCGGAGACAGGGTGTTGGCGTCACAGCCTACATGATATATGATTAAGTTGGGGTCATTGACTGTGCTGAGCAACAGGGCGATGCCGATTGCCCTTTTGTGCGGTAGATTGTTCCAGTTGACAGGTCAACATTGCGAATGGGAGAGACCAGAAGTTGAATCTAGATGACAACGGCTTCTGCTTGCTTCCTCATGCCCGTGCCTTAGACTTCAGCTTGAAGAGTTTCGAGACCAGTCAGCCTGTCTGCAGCGCCATACTGTATGCTGAAGCAAGAAAAGAACTACCCCACCTATTCTGCCACAACATCCTGGGATGCACTGAGCAGCAACATGGCACCATGTAAAAAATCATGCCGAGAATTTGCCAAGTAGAGCAGCATCAGCCCTTCTGCGCTCATCAGCTTCTTAAGCCTCTGCATGCTTTGACCTTAATGTCGTGATTTGAATCCAATCCGCATGCATCCGTTGGTTGAGCTAAGATCTATGCAGGACTTGATTTCGCCGCAGTGCGTACCAAACGTAGTCATTGCATTAGGTGGCCACCCCAAACACGTGATGCATCCCTGCAGTGGAAAGTGTTTTACAGCAGGAGGCCTACTAGGGACGATCAGCTGGTCGGCACGGAGAATTCAGAAAAGATCAAAGCCCGAGTTGGTGATGTCTTTGTGGATCGACGGTCAAGGAGTGGGCACACGTTGACTATTATGACAATGAGATGGTGATTGCGAAATACTACAGCGAGTGTGAGGTCAGGATGCTGCTGTCCTTTGGGAACACGTCGAAGATTGCGTTGGTGCAATGCGCCAGGACATTGTACGCAGAGCAACGGGTGCATCGAGGGCATTGGCCTTTGATCACAATATTCGCGCAAAGCAGCGAAAGGAGGCACAACCTCCTTTCTCGCTTTGTTAGACTTATTCCAGATATGCTTATGCACGAAACAAAGTGTTCATTGGAGTCTTGGCCTTCACATTTCACCTTTGGTTCCAGAATCTTGTTGCAGCCATGGGAGCCATAATTAACTTGTATGTCGAGGTCCCAGTGGTATTTGCCACAGGAGCAATCGCAGCTAAACAAAGTTGGGTGGAACTAGCATGAATGTTTGTTGCGAGGCAATGGGTTTGTTGGCGGCTTTCTGAGAAAAGGGGATGCCCGTGTCACGCATGACACCTAAGTTGGCAACGTGCGTAGTAACAGCTTGTCAAGCAGGCCAAATTGAATTCAGACAGTGAGCCTTGGATCCATCGTCTTGAATTCCTTTGTGTGCTGTGGCCAGTGTGGTCATGTCACGCGATTACCGAGTTCTGATAGTATTTGAGAAATGCATCATTTCGTAAATTCTGCACTCAATCCTCCCAAGTTCTTCTTTCATCCCAATCACCATCTAGTTTTCTCCTCCATTGTCCTTTTTCGATCCTTGAGTCTTGCTTGCCATGTTGCTAGGACTTGCTACGGGTGCCCAAACGACCCCCTTCCTTGTGGTACCATGTCATTCCGCAGGCCGGTGATCGCGGCGCCCTCAGCCTGTTGCGTGATTTGAGTTAACCTCAACACAGGATGCTGAATTTTCTGTTCTGCCTTTCAGAAAGCTTCATTTCCAGGGTCGAGACTTGAAATCTTGGGCAAGCTGCAATGTGGGTCATTGCAGGGACTGGTGCCGTCAAGATCCGTCAAGATGTGTCAAACTTCTTCAACTCGCAAGTGATTGCCACCAGACCCCCACAGTGGCCCAGGCTTCCTGAAATTTCCTGAAGCCCCTCCGGTAGCCCCAAATGAGCAGGTGAAGAGGTTGTCTAAGATTTGAGGTTCGCGCGCAGTCCGCACGTAGACGCAAGAGTGAAACCCGAGGACTCCGAGGCGGCAGCGCAGTCCAAGAGCCTCTGGTAACGTACGGCATTCACAACGACGCTGGGCTGAGCATTGCTTTTTTCTACCCCAAAGCTCTCGCCTGTTCGGCAGGCCTGTACTGCTCAGGCGATATCTTTTGTTGCGGAGCGTGCATGTGCCATGCAGCTAGGAATCTTGCCCTCGACAATCGCAAAGAATTTGGCATTGTTCTTCACTTCTACTGTTTGCATTCGCCCTTGTTGAGGACTACACAGTCACATCTGCGGAGCAACGAATTCGTCAGCAGCGGCCCCGGGATCAAAACTGCTGGCAAGTGACTTTCCAAACAAATGTCAGCTGCAGTAAACTCAAGCCCAAGCCTAAACGTGCCCCTGCATTTGCCGAAGGGGTCGCTAGAGATTCTGAACTCCTGAGCATCCACGAAGGAGGTTTTGGGAATCCGCGGCAGGCTTGCAAAGCCTCCGAGCCGAAACGATACACGTCGCAACGCAGATGGGACAAGCTTACTGGAGGCTGCAAAGGTTGCCTTGCCCCCAGCTTTGTATGACTGGCTAAGAAGAGGAATCGACCCCCATTCAGCATGTATCGCATAGAGTATAGCAAATGTAGCAATGGGGCAGTCCAATCAAAGGAGGCTGACTATCCGGAGTTCAAATGGAGCTTTCCTGAACCAGTGCACCTTGAAGCTGCGGCGCTTCTCTCATTTAAATGCCACAGCAACTCAAGGACACGCTACTCCAGAAACGATGGCTGTTTGTCAACGCCGGGGGCTCTGGTACATGGGTACATGGGCAGGTTTCTGGAGGCAATTATCGCATTGAACAACTCGCGCATTTTCCTGGGGCCTCACTCAAAATTTTACCCATCCTGCAGCACTGGCTCTGCTGATCGCATACGGCTAGGTTTGGCGGAACATAGCGGAAACGCCAGTGGAGAGCTTTCCCCTTGCTGCGTGTGATGCGCAGTCTGTGGCCAGGAGCTGAGAGCTGTGATGACCTGTGAGCTTCGGTCTACAAGGATAGCCATGAAACTTTGACGCTAGCGCCGGGTTGCCTAGGGAGAAGATGGGAGTCATCACGCGGTGGTACAGCAAAATCTGGCAAGTCCATCCGTGTGCGATATTGTAAGTTCCTGCAACGCCCTGCAACGCCCAACAAGTTTTCTCTTGCCAGCACTATTTCGATTTACACTTTCAAGCTGTCGCTTTCGCATGCTTTCACCAAGCCGTTGGTTGCGCCCAGGCACTTGATGACCTCATTGTCTTTGAGATAAGATATGCCGATCGCACAGGCTCTGGCTCAGAACTCGCATAGTGTTCGCTTGCTGCTACCGGAGGTTGCAGTCGCCAGCCCTCAAAAGTGTTTTCATGGCAGCCCAAGAACATTTCGGCACAGCTTCCATACCTGTGAACTCAAGCAAAACCGCATCCAGGTGAGAACTACTTTGCCAGATACTCTGAGCAGCAGCGCTGGTTCTACTTCCCAAGGACCACAGCCTTCTGTTGCTGTGCAAAATTGCTCCTTTGGATCTTTGGATACCGCGTGAAGCCCAAGACTGTGTGTGTTGCAGCAGTGTTGCGGGAGGAAGCTCAAGATACAAAGCACAACCACCTGCACTGGAGTCACTAGAGAAATCGTTTGCCAGTCAGGCTGGCCTGCAGTGTCCTGAGCTGGCCAAAGTAGCAGGCTATGGGTAACCTTGCAGCCAGCAAGCTTCCTAAAGAAATCATTACCCGTTCCAGGGCTCAGTCGTAAGGTCAAATTCCATTTTATTGCTTTGAGGTTACCGGTTGTGTGAGATGTGCTAGTTGCCACTGCATACGCAAAGCAGTTGAGATGCTTAACCTGACCTTCTGCTGCGGACGATTCAAGCAGGGATTGTTGGGGGCGACACATTGCTGGGGCGAGACCTGGTTGGCTATAATTTAGCTGTACTTTCCTCCAGTCACTTTTTTTTGGGGGGGGTTGTCTTGGCCTTTTTGACAATGGTCCGGGGCGAATCGATCGATATCCCAGACCCAGTGACATCTCGACGAAACTATGCTGCCTGGGAGGATGAAGAAGGACGAGGTAATGCTGCTGAAGTGCTGGGACTCCCGAGGCACAAGTGAAATCTGGTGCGATCGTTTGCAGGGTCCCTTTTTGTAACTTCACAATGGACTTATATGTTGTGCTGAAGAGAGGCCTAGTTCTCCCATAGCCCCCACCAAGCTGCTCGAGCAAGCATACTAGTTGCTCCAAATTTGCTGGCTGGGCTGGCTTTCAATCTGTCATCCTATCTGCATGACAGCCTGCAGGCAGAGACTTCAAGCCTGCAGGCGCAGAGGGCAGGGATGTCGCAGCTACTTTTTCCTTGCATGGTTCTTTCGAAGAGGTGGCCGAAGCCTGAGAGCACTTAAGTGGGTTTGATGCATTGTACGGAGGTGCTTGGGTCGCACCAGTCATGAACCCAAGAGTATTTGCTGAGGCAAGTCCCCCCGATGCCAAAGACCGCGAAAGCATCGAGGTACAAGCCAAAGACTGCAATCGGCTTGAATGCCCCAACTCGAGCGTTTGTGGTTCAGGTACGCTTGGTAGCCTTTTTCGAGTGAGTGGCCAGTGTTCACTTGGAGCTTGCAGAACAATGACGTGCAGCTGCTCATTCAAGTCCACGAGAACTCCGGTTGTGTGTGACACTGAAGGCCGCAAGCTTCGTGGCTCAAATTCTGCCCGCAGTCAAGGGAACATGAATGTCGCATAATGTCGCCAACTTAACCAGCGTCTGAATCCCATGAGGGCTGCTTGATCCTATTGATTGAGCAAGCCAACTTTTGAAAGCAGGCAGGGAAATGCAGTAACGTTCAAGCAGCCTCCCTTCCATCTACATCCAGGTTCGGTGGGCTTGGCAAAATGTTATTGTTGCTGTGCATGGCTGGCGTCTTGCTGAGCCAAGCAGCAGACAGCTTGACAAGGAAACGGGCAACAATGTGAAGCCTGTTCAAATGGGATGTGGGGGCCGTTCTCATAGGTTTTCGGTTTTCAAGTTGGGCAGCGCCTGATTGCATTGCCAGGTGTCCCCAAAAAAATATTGCGCAGGGGCAGGCAGCCCCTGCGGTGCCCAAAGCAAAACAAGGGAAGCAAGGTCGGCGCGGTGCGTTTGCCATGTGGTCTTGTTTTTTGGCTTGCCGGTCTTGTGGCTCTTCGGCCCCTAAACTCCGCAAACTCCAAACTCCTAGACCGCAAGCCTACGCGCTAAGCCCCCCCCCTAAACCGTGTATCCAACTTGTGTGGAATTCAGCCCAAGAGGTGACAGGAGTATAGAACGGCGCGAGATAACGTAGGAGCCCAGTTAATGCCAATATTATGTGTGTATGTATGGGTGTACTTGAGGCACCCTACACTTTACATTTCGTCCAGCCTTTTACAGTAGTGTTGGTAAGGCAGCACTACGCAGTCTGGATTCCGATCCCACTCGCCGGTACCTTAAACCCGAAACACCTAGCCCTCAACCTTGAAAAAGTTTTCCTGCCTGACCTTGCTCCTGAACCTTCAAAATGTGCCGGTTAAAAACATCTTGGCCAGCCCGTTCCCAGCCGTCTGCCAGTCTTCCAAGCTATCGGGCCTAAACTCGCAAAATGAGTTTGAGCATGCTAGACGGACTTATGTTTTTTAGGCTATGTTTTTCTGGCATTCCCCCATGCGTACAGACGTAGGCCCATGGCGCCTGACGAGGCAGTAGGATCCCTTGGCTGTCGTCTTTTTCAATCGATAGAGCCGCTTTCCCAAGGCCATCCTGCAGCGTGTGGCTATCGTGCTTCTTAGTCACTGTATTCTCATGATGCCACCTTCCACAACTTTGCAAGTGCCACTAATTTTCGCTAAGTCAGCTGTGCAGGCACTGGCATCGGTGGCCCCGGCAAAAGTCAAGACATGGCCAGGGGTTGTCTGCGCAGTGAGGTAGAGGGGCACCCGAGGGCCCCTTAAAGATTGTCAGGCCGCAGCCCAACCAATCGTTAGCTGCGGAATGGGGGTGGGAGAGTGGAAGTCCACCGAAGCACCTTAGCGATGCCCCGGCGTCTGCAAGCCTAAGCAATCAGAAGCTTTAGCCAACAAGCGGCAACAGGTGCAGCCCCAAGGTCTAGTGTGCTGCGAGTACCTTTGGTCCCTACGCACAACTTCCTGCTCCCTGATACGTGCCATCCGCTGGATGCTATCAGCAAGCAAACGAACGGGCTCCGCAACGCCGCTACAGCCCAAGCGCTGAGCAAGTCCCCCTGCCGGGCGGATACCCCTATGCACCTGGAATGCCAGACAATCCCCATGACAAACAAAAGTCACGAAGGCCTTCTGGAAAAGCAGGACACCATCTAGCATCAGTACTGATGCCGCCTACCATGATACCAACACCGTGTCCATCCAGCAGTTTAGCAACCTTGAGCAACCTAGAAATCAAAGGCACAAAAATTTGCAAACGCTTTCTTCGAACAACTTCAGAGTCGTTGCCAGATTTGGCCGTTCTGCGCGCGCAATATGTTGAGTTTGGCAGGCTTGGGTGCATGCAAATCACTCCCAAAGGTTTATGCTGCTGTTGTATTGGGTCAGGCTGAGCTGTTGCAGCACCAAGGGCCTCTCCAGACCCCCCAAGTCCGGCTGTCCCGCTGCCAACCCCATTGAGCAAGGGCACTGTCCAACACAGACGAAGGCAATTGAGAGCATTTACAAAAGTTTCTCCCAGCATATTGCTCACTCAAACACCACCTCCCGAGACCTTTCAAAACATGCGAGACCATCATCAAGCAGCCTTATGAGATCCAGCAGCCCTGTTCGATATTCGCCTGCAAATTCTACAGATGCATTGGCTTCCTCAGCCATGCTTACGGGCGGATTGCCAGGTCAGGGCTCCAAACACTTCAGCTTCGGCAGCAAGACCACAGCAGTGCTGATCTGAGCCTTGACATGGCAGTTGTTTCTCACGTCATTCTCAGCGTTTTGGCAGCGACGTGCGACTCAACTACAAGCTGCCCCAGGGGCAGTGGTAGCTTCCGACGCCAGCCAGGATACACCCAAATATAGCCAGATGGTTACGCTTTGCAAAATTTTGGCGGAGGATTCCTGTTGAATGTGGTCGGGAACGGATTCGAGCGATGCGACGGCCAGACAGTCAAGATAACCCAGTTGGATTGGTACAGGGCGTGACCACATTCGCAAAGGAACTCAAGGGCAGGACCGTTGTCTGGTTCATGGACACATTGACAGTTTTGTGTATCAGAAAAGGGAAGGCGTCTTCCAATTGAAATCCGACTTCATGTACTGGTCTGGGAGTGCAGTGGGTGTGCCTGCAGGATGCACGGTTCCCATCAGATGTTGCCAGGGAGACTGAGTCGCAGGGCATGCAGCCCAAACCATGGCTGCAGTGGCAGGAAATGACATTGTAGCCATTCACCCTGTGAGATGGAAAGGCGGAAAGCGCATAGAACATGCAACATGGACATGTTCTTGTGATCCTGGTGTATGTAGGCATTCGGCAAATGTATTAATCTTTGTGCTCCCAATTTTTGAAGAAGGGGTTACAATGGCAGCCAACAACTCACTCTGCGTTCCATCCACCGGTATTGCCGTGTTCAACACATGCCATCAAATCCAAATTGGCAAGCCAGCACGTAATTACCTCATATTTTTTCCATGCTCCGGCTGATGAAATGCTTGGTGGTAGCGCCTCCAGCCCGGCCTGGCCCGCAGCACGTGGAAAGTTCCAGTTTGACGGGCGAGGAAGCTGCGATTTGTTGGTGTTGAAATGTGTAGATCCCTGGACCGAGGCGTTGCCGACATCCCCGCAGCATGCGCTCTTGGCTGTGTGAACAAGCCTAGATGTTGAGGGTTTGCATCATGTTGTGTCGGGGTCCTGAGCATTTTGTGGTTGTTCTGGGTTTCAATGTGGTGTTGGTTAGCGGTTAGCGGCAAAAATAATTTGTTACAAATGTTACAGCGAGCGGCATGAGTTCATGCTTGTAACACAGTTCGGCGACAAGAGCCAACGATCAAGTTGCGTGATTCCGAATCCGGGAAGGGTTTCTTTTGACAAGGTTCAACGATGAAAATTGACTGGAGAATGTTTTTCCATGCCCTTCGGATATGATGTCCTACCAACAACACAACTTTGCATGTGTGCTGTGTTGCATGTGTTGCTTGTCTGCCGTCGTCCAAACAGACGGACTTTTCGAAAATGGTTTGGCACTTGTTCAGGGTAGGCTCTATCTAGGAGGCTTCACCGGACGCTCGTGGACAAGTGCGCAGAACGGACAACAGAACATGCTGCTACAAGGGTCTGCGCACACTTTTCCTGCAACTGCCAACCGGTGTCGGAGATTTAAGAACCTGAGCTCTGGATTCAACAGTTTACCACGGGATGGAGAGGTTCCTGGCGCCAGTTTCATCAGCTTGCATCTCTTTCCAGGCGCTTCTGCGGGAGATGTCGGTGCCAGTCCATGAGGCACGCTTTTTCTTGACTCCGCTTCTGTGAGGTTTTGTGCAGCCCACTGGACGGGGAACCACAACCCCATACCAGAAAGCTATCCATCGCAACAAGGTAAGGCAACTTCCAAAGAGTTCTTGACCCTCCAATCTGGGTTTTGTCCAGAAGAACGAAAGTAAGTATATGATGGATCGCCGACTTCTTGGAAGACCAATCGGCACCCGCACTCAGCTGAAGCCCCTATTGCCAGGGCTCTTCAGTGACTACCGAATTTCCGCAGATCGTCCACCTAAACGTGGCGCGGGTCTCATGTTTTCAGAGGCCCCAGAGAGGAGTGTACTACATTTAGGGTTCGATGGCATGCCTGTGGGGATGAGAAGCACGGAACGATATTAGACGTGTGAAGACCTTGGCAGGAGTGTCACATTTGCCCCTTGCTCTACTTGACTTGAGCAGTTGATGCAACGTCAAACAGACTGAGTGAGGCTTTGTAACCACAGATTGTTGACTTAGGGCGGACGAAAACTAATGACAACCCTGGCGACTTTGCAGACGGACTCCGAGACTATGTCGCGCTCTAAGTGCATGTTCGAGGAGAGGAGGCAGCAGAGCCTGTGAACATTCAGATAAATGAATGCATTCAGGCTCGGCCTCATGTTCAGCGGCAAGCACCCGGCTGGCCTCCCGGGCCAAGCATAACTTCACTGCCTTGCGAATGTGCAATGTGCCGGGTGCCGCTCCACACCACAAGGCACCAAGATCTCATGTTCCTGTCATGGTTCAATTTTTCGTCGCTGGGCCAAAGCAATGGAGACAACAAGGTTCTTCGAGACGCTGATGGCTGCTTCTTTATCGATCGTGATGGGAGGCACCACCGTACTGCGAGTAACTCTTCCTGCATGTGAGCTTGCACCTCCCGCACCTCAATCTCCAAATCTGCAGGCAGTTTCACCACATCCTCAACTACCTGAGAGATGGCACCCTTCCCATAGGCATGGGAAAACTAGACTTCAGGGTCTTCCATTGCAATCAGTTAATGGCTGTCCCAGGTCTATAACTTCACAATTTTCAATGATATGCTTGTAGAGTGGATGGAGGACTGACCAGATCTAGCAACATCCTTGTCACGGTCGCCTGTCATCACCCTTCCTGCAATTTTCAGCCAAGCAGCTTCAGGGGCGACAAATACAAGTGCGCGTTTACGCATGACCGCGTAACGAAGGACAGTTGAAGTAAAGAGCAGAACCAGCTGCAAGAGCCATTCTTCTTGCCGCAGTGAAAACTGCATGACCAAATCCCAATGACCTCTTCCACATCAATAGCCGCACAGCTTTTCTCACCTTATCAGAATTCAGCTATTTCCAGACCAAAATTCGCAACCTACCGCCGCACGTACTAGCAAGGCCCAAGGCACACCATGCACCCAATCTTTCAAATGTTAGCATGCATTCCGTGGACCCAAACGCTGCTAAACTCTGCCAAGCGCCGTAATTAAGCCCTGTTTGCCAGCCATTTTTCATATTTCGGGCCTGGCGGCACGGGCCGGCCCGTCCGCCTACCTAGCCCCCAAAACGGAATCCCAATTGTGCTGCTGATGCTCCAGATCATGAGAAGCCTCGGTAAAAGTACTTTCGGCAGTTTTGTAGAAGTTTAAGGTTTTTGCCCAAAACACTCCGTAGCCGGAGGAAGCCTCAAAAATTTGTCCCAAAACAGCTAAGTGTGCATCCGCCCTGGGCCACGAAGGCCAAGCAAATGTCGAGGCTGATGCCAAGGACGGTCAACGCCGGAGGGTAAATCGTGTGCCGGTGTAGCTTTGTGAAGGCCTACGCCAGAAATACGCCCCACACGCCCCAAGTCAGCCTTCCGCAAAGCCTGAAAAAGAAGAAATGGACTTCCAATAATGCAGATGATGCTATATGATGCTGGCCGAGGGGGCCAGCATCATTAGCATCATTGGGCATTTTGGGGTCCCTCAATACCCATTGAGAGCTACGCGTTTCTCAACTCCGGCCCAAGACGGGCCTTGGGGCTGGTTTCGAAAACAGTCCGTGCTCGTGGTCTTTTCTTTTGGGGGCCCTTGAAGGCGGCGTAGCCCGACTTTATGAGCCTCCGATTCAAGCCGCCGACCTTAGAGGCAGTCAGGCAGGCTATCCCCAGAGACGAGATGGAGACAAGATGGAATGTCGTAGCAGAAGTCATATAAGGCAATTGCAAAGCAGTTTCACGCCAGCGCAACAGTTGCAGTAGCGACATTGCGACCAAATCAACAATGTTGGGTCATGTGCGAGATATTGTCGTTCCAGCTACGATTTGAGGGATTGGGCACGAGACCAAGCGATAGAAGTTCGAGCCAGGATGTGCATGATCTTGCTGTTGATGTGCTGCAACATTGCGCAAACCTTTCGGGGGCTCGCCTCCAGAACCCGAAGGCACTAGACCAGCCGCGAGGGAAGTTACTGGTCTAGGCAGCAAGCCTGCCAGGGCCCGCAGACCCCGTACGCCCATCCTAGGCCCGCCATAAACGCTGTTTGATTCCATGGAAGTCGGCTCAGGGCACCACCCTTGTCACCTTCCTCTGTCTCTTCAGACTCTCCAACATCATCCAACACGCCCCCAAATGTCGGCGGATTCAGCTTAGGCGTCAGCCACATGAGGTATAATCTTGGACAATTTTGCACCCCACGCGTGTACACCTCTAGGATCCTCTAGGCGCAAGAGCCCGAAAGGCTTCACCTGCTGCTTTGCAGGTCTCTCTCGGGTGGATCGCTTGGAGCTGCTGCGGGAGGCTAGCATGCAGTTCAAGACACGCGTGGCTAGTCCCCCAAGCAAAGGTTTTCTGGAGTTCGGCCTTGGAGTCTGAGAGTTTTTCGTGGATCTCGTAGACACACGCACGATTCCTGCTTTCAGAGTGCAGGCGGACTTCTACGGACTCAAGGCGCTCTACAGCTTCATCGGCGGGCTGCCACCTCAGTTCCTGGCTGCTCACCGTTTCGGCGCTTGCAGGATTTGAATGGGCGAAGCTTGGAGTGAAAGCTGCTTCTTCACAGCTGGGGCCCATGTTTGGAAAGATGCCTAGCATTTGCACCCAAGGCCCACCGTACAAGCTGCCATGATGCCAATACCTCAGACATTGATGGCCCGTGCCGCATATTGTTGTCACGGCTCACTAACCATCCACCTTGAGAATCATTGGCTGAGTCCTTTTCAGGACTCTTCAAGGTGCATGCCAAATTTACGACGGTTCTGGGAGACTGGTCTATGACCACGCAGGCCGCAACCATGTAGACTCGCGCTTGAACACCACATCACATCGGGGCATTTCGTTTCTGCAGACGAGTCACGAACGAGCTTGGGAAGGCAAGCCGAAAGCGGTGCTGGAAGGCCTCTTAGTACCGATGAACTTTCCCAATCAACGCACTCAAGGCCTGAGCCCTCTAATGGTCCAAAACTTGACGCTGCAGTGCTGCCGCGGGTAGGGGGTCGAAATGATGTGGCGTACTTTTGAAACCGCGGGAGCCTGCCACTTAATTGCAGGATCCTGAGGCAGATGGACAGAAAGGGGTGGGCTGGGGCAGGGTGGGTTCGGGGAGTCGGGTGAGGGGAGCCAGGAACCCCTATCGCACTTTGGCCCGCACCGGTCAAGAGGCAATTCCCATTTGTTCTCACCGGACGGTACTAGGTGCTGGGTCGCAAGGCCTCCCTGTAGCCTTCAGGGGCTTCCGGGAAGCCTTGCACAGAGTTATCAAGTCTTTGGTTAGTGGCCAGCAATGCTATGGAATGGAGCCTTGACCACGTGAAATCAATCTGTGTGCGCATGCCACAAACAGGTTGTTCCCCTAATGTGCTACATAAGGACCGGTGGCGGCACAGGGCCATGGCTTCGGAGCCTTTGCCACGACCTGGCCCGGGCCTTGTGCTTCCGTGTCAGGCCGTGTCACGTGTAAGGGGCTTTTAGCCCTGCACTTCCGAGGCCAAAGCTGAGGCTGCGGACTTCTCCGTAAACAGCCGGAGCCACAGAGGCTGGCAACATCTAATGACCTTTTGATCGCCATCTTGTGTTGGCATGTTGCTGGGAACTCAGCTGCTGCCAAGACCATGAAAGACCCCATCATTCATGAATGCCAAAGTTCATATCATGCCCCTGATGTTGGAGAGACTTGGGTGGGACTACGAATTCGTTTACGGTATACACCCTCCACAAAGATCACCCCCAAACAGTAGGCCACGCTGAAGAAACTGTGCTGTCTGCCAGTATACGCGCGGCTTCGCTACGGCCAAGAGTACAGTGGAGACTGGATCGTGTCTTCACCAAGGCCATGTGTACAATCTCACACGAAGCGAAGTAACCTTCCACATCAGACGTGCAGCGAAATAATTCCAAGGGAGTAAGGCGCCATAAGGCGCAGTCTTGCCTGACGCTTGAAGGAATCTGCCGCATGTGCAGTACGAGCTTTACGACGCTTGCTTGGCGCGCGATCCTATCACCGCGCTGAACAAGATGGGTTCCTTGGCGAAGGTTCACTTCGGAGTTTGGCTTCAGCTAGGCTTCAGGCTTGGGAAAATTACACAGGTCGGTTGGAGGTTTGGAGCAGCCTGAGTTTTTCGGGGATGGAGGCACCTCGCCACATCAGCGTGTTTGATGTTTGCCATGCCTTTGTTCACCTCTAACTGCTGACACACTGGCTAGCGATGCGAATCGACTGAGCAAGACACGGACACCGTAGAATTGGCAAACAGGGGGTTATACACGCCAGTGATCGCCAGTGCATACGAGCTGGGAGAACTGTGGCGACCCGGCCTTGCAGCAAATTCATTGGCTGGTGCAAACAGATCAAAAGGGGCAGCTCCTCGAGGGCCCCTCAGCGATGCATTCACGGCCGAAGTGCAAAACCCACTGCCTCGATGCACCCTCACGGGTCTTGGCCAGAGGCAAATTTGGGGGAGGAACAAGTCAGACAAGTGAACAAACTCAAAGCCAGCAGCAATGAAACGTTTAGTGACCGTGTCAAGCATCTTGCGGTGTGTGGGCCATGGCAGCCGACATGTCTTTGCTGATCAACGATGAACTTGAGTTGGCTTGGTAGGTCTTCCAGCCATACTGGTTGAACGGAATGCGCGCGTCCCCAATGATCCGTGAGCTGTGCTTCTCGCATCTCCGGGTTGCGCTCTTGCGGGTCGAGAGGCGGGATCTGTCGATTTGATGATTTACGATGTACCGTGTTTGATGATGTCGTTCTGTCTCATTGTTTCCAGTGCGTTCTCCCACTGGTCAGCGCCACCCAGTGCAGGGCACGGCCAGTTAATGGGCAGCTGTGCAGGTGAAAGCCGGCTCAGGCCGCTTTGTGAAGCTCACTGCTGTTGCCAAAACTACAAATCTGTTTCAGTAAGAACCTGCAGATGAGGCTTCCTGAATTCCTGGCCGCAGTCCCCAGCAAAATCAAGACAGCTGGTTTTCACTAGCGAGTCTTGGATAAAGCATGATAAAGCCACCAAACCTCAGGTGCAGCCGGATTCCGGCCTTGCGTGGAGCCGCCAACAGTTCCCGCCAGTACCTCGTGCCAGAACGATGACTGGGAGATCATGCTCTACAAGGATCACCAGAGAGACGGTCAGTAAGAATTCGTCGGAATTGAGCAGCAACTACGATTTGGGTCTGCTTGTCGAGGTTGTGAGGCAAGTGGGCTGGTCTTGCCAGTGTGATTCTTGAGCTTTGCAAGAACCACCTGAGGTTTGGGCATTTCTGCCTGGAAATTTTGGGGCCCCGGAAAGCATGCAACGCACAGGCAAAGGCGGCGGTCACGCAGCCTTTGTGAAACTTAACCGCCCCACATCCCCAGGCCCAAGGGGCCCCAAGCAAACCCTCCTCACATCGAGGACGTCTGGCAGTAAGCTGCAAGATCGACGCTTCGACGGACCACGTCATGCCCAGATGCTGCAATGACAGCTCCTCCCAGGTACTTTGGGTTTTTGGATCTCGTGCAAGCGTTTTACCAAGCATGCTACCATCCGTGTGATTTGCAGTGCCATTGCTGCTGTGAGGTTGTCATTTTTATTAGGGCTGTTAAGGAGACATGTTGACTCATGTGGCATGTACATAAACAAAACGGCTAGTTTGTGAGCTTCAGTCTGTTTCACGACTACAATTGCTTTGGTACAACCTTCAGCCAGTGAAGCGCCGTACAGGCTTTATCCGGGAAGCTACAGGGCGACGTTCCAGTCCACCTGCCATGCTGCTGAGCTCGGACCTTGCTGGCTTGCGGCCGGAGTGAAGACAAAATGGTCCCGGTGTTTAGGATTGTGGAGGCGTCTCTAATGGTTCTGTCCTGGGGGATGGACTTGCAGGAAGGCTCTTGAAGAAGTGGCTTGAGTCCCGAGGTGTGAGCCCTCTTAGGCAGTGTTGTTTTTGTTGGAGCTTGGGCCAAGCGATCAAGTTTGTAGGTGTGTATGACCAACCATCCAGAAGGGGTACGTTACCTTTGATGGGCAATGTGCAGGAAAGCTTTAACAACATTTAACACATTTTGTGAAAAGCCCCAGTGGCAGTTGATGGAATCTACATCGCTCCTGACACTGGCTCTGCTCGTCTGCCGCAGCAGTTATCCAAAGTGCGGGGCGTAGGACAGAGAGTGGAGACTGTACAAAAATCGGGAGCTTGGTCGCCTGCTGTGCTTTTGAACCTGACGCTGCATGGCGCTGCCTAGCACAGCTGGCCAGATGCCAGAAGACATGCCAGCCGAAGGCCGGCCCTCGCTGATGAAAGTTCTTTCCTCCAGTTAAATCAACTGTGTGCACTGGCACAGATCCTATGGCTGTCATGTCTTCCGGTACTGCTAGCTGCCTCAGGAACGTAAGCTTACTATTGACTCTTTGATTGGCTATGTAACAGCAGGACTGCGTGCAGACGACTCGCCCCGGCTGGTAGCCAAGCAGTTCCAAATCCTCCTTGTGGTGTGTCATCCAACTTGCCGTAGAAACACATTACATCACAGTGGAGTCCCGAAAGATACATAAAACCACCAAAACTGCCCACAAATGTGGCTGTCCCTTGAAAAATGGCGGGGCCGTGTTTGTTGGGGGAAGTGTCGCTATTATTGGACCATGTTGGACGGTTTTAGACTTTAAGAGCCTCCGGCTCAGTCCGCCGACCCAGACGCGGAGAAGTCGCGAAGGCAACGACGGCGTTAACACTAAACCCTAAACCAAATAAACCCTAAAACTTGAGGTCTTCAGCGGCTGGCTTGAGACCAATCGGCGCAACAAGATTACTTCAAGCTAGGCTGCCGGGACTCCGCAGCCTTGCTGTT